CACAGGGAGCGGGGCCCCCGGAGTGGCACGGCAACGGTGCCACACACCCGTCCTGGCCTGGCAGGGCGCCCCCGCGCCAGACGCTGCCGAGAAGTGAGAACACATTTGCTGGCTGCTCGCGGCTCCCGAGCCGGCTGCCGCGGGTAATTCTCTCCAGATGTCCGAGCTGTGCAGCCCTGCCGCGGCCAAGCCCCTTGGCTCCCTGCTCCCAGCACAGCAGGGCCCCAGCCGGCCCCACAGACACCAGGGCTGTGGCCCCGCGCCAGCCCCATGCCCAGCTGGAGGCCACGAGCACAGCCCTGGCCTCCTCCACACAGCAGGACACAGAAACCCTGCCCAGGCTCCTGTCCCAGGGTCGAGGAACGGTCCGGAGGGGGCAGGCCTGGCCACCGAAGGCCATGACAGCCACTGCCCAGGCTTGCAAGATGCACAGACCCTGGCTGCCCCTCTGATGAGTCTCCGCTGTGCAGCACAGTGCCCCCACACCGCAGCCTGCGCTCCCTGCTGAGCCCCCGTGACTTCCTCCCCGCCGCACACGGCAGCCTGAGCGCCCCCTTGCATCCTCGGCCCCGCATGGGGACCCGGTGTTGGTGCCAGCTCAGAGGAGAGCACCCCAAAAGATGACCGTGCACCCAGCCCAGCACCCTGCGCTCTCCTCCGATGCTGCCCTGCGCTGCGGGAGGGGGTCCCAGCTTCCACGGGTTTGCGTGGTATCAGGGCTGCCTGCATGTGTGTACATGTGTGCGCGGCATCCAGGCTGCTTGTGCGTGTGGGTGTAGTGTGCATGCATGTGTGCACACTGGGACCTGGGTGGGAGCGCCCCGGGCTGCAAGCTCTCGGTGCTGTCCCTGCCACCTCCCTGGCCGACCCCCACAAGCCGGGGCTGGCGCTGGCACTGGGAGCTGCTCCACAGCCGGTGCTGCGGGGAGCGCGGCTGCAATATTAATGCCCCTGCACCGCAGCCAGCCAAGAGCAGCCGCACCGTTAACCCTCCCTCCCCCCTCGCTCTGCTCAGCCCCGGCTCCAGATGAGGCCTCTGCACAGAGGAGGGGGCAGAGGGAGCCCTGGAGCCCCCACTCCTGTTCCTGGGAAGCAGCTTTCAGGGGGAGTCAGAAGGGAGATGCTGGCAGCAGAGCTCCGTGCCTTTCCCAGAGCCGCCCCCCCCCCGGGCACCGCTGGGGACCAGACACCCCCAGCAACAGACAGCTTGCTCAAACCCTCTGCAACCACCCCCCAGCCAGAGCTGCCCAGGGGGAGCGGGAGCAGAGCGAGCCCCAGCTGTGCCCCACACACAGACCCTCACTGCCCTGCTGAGGGCAGGTGGCCTCAGGCCCAAGCCGGGGGGTGGGAAGCCGGACCCCCGTGTCCCATTGCCACCCAGTCAGCAGGGCCCCTCCGCCCACGCGGAGCCCAGCAGGACGGGGGGCAATGCCCGGGGGGCAGGTGGGCGCGAGCATGCGGCGCCCGCTCCCCGCCGGGCCGCCTGCCCGCTGGGGCAGGCTCCTGCAGCCTGGCACCCGGCCAGTTCCCCGATCACTTTCCCGAGGCGAAGGCTGCTAACAAACCTCCCCCTTGCCAAGGCGCCTCCATGCAGCTCTTGCAGCCCTTAACCCTCCCCTGCCCGGCCCAGGAGCGCTGGCGCCTCCCAGCAGGCCCCCCACCCCCAGGTCTGGCTCAGGCTCAGGCTCAGCCCCACAGCCAGTGGCGCAGTGCACGAGGGAGGGGGCAGCCCCGGCCCTCCAGCCCCAGAGAGCAGTGGCCTCCCCAGGGCCGGTCATAGGGAATGAGCGGTGCTGGGCTGAAGCCCGTCAGAGCCCTACCTGGGGCAGGCAACCCAGGCAGGCCGAGGTGGACCAGGTCCATCCTGCTTGCAGGAGCGATGGAGACCCAGACCCAGTGCTGGGCTCTGCCAGGCAGCGTGGTCCACGGAGCCGGCCTGGGCAGAGGGGCTGGTGCGGGGAGACCACAGAGCCCTGCCTCATCCGCCCCCATCTCCCGCACCCGGCGTGGCCCTCCCATGACGAACCAGGGCTGGGCAGGGAGCTCCCTCCCAGCATGTGCACGTGCACACGCACACAGCCCCCAGCTGGGTAGCAAGCTCATGCCCTGCACAAACATGCATGCGCGCACACGTGCGCGCGCGCGCACACACACACACACACACGTGTGCTGTGCTGTGCTGTGCTGTGCTGTGCTGGACAGTGCCATGGGTGCAAAGGTGGCGGCACAAAGACCCAGCCCCGCTGCCTCCCAGGGCCCCCCACCTCCTGGGCACAGCCCCAGGCAGGTCACGTGGGCGGGGGAGGAGGCCTGGTGGGGGGCGCAGTCTGGGGATCCCCCCTCCCACTCCTTGGCCTGTAAATAGGTCACCGCTGTGGACGGATGGCGGAGGATTAGTTTAACCCCTGAGATGCTGGTGCCTCCTGGGCGGAGGGGGCTGCCCATGCACCTGGGAACGTGCTGAGCCAGAAGCCTGGGGCAGGGACTGGGCTGGGGGCCTGAAGCAAGCGAGGCAGCCCTGCTCCCTAGCCCTTGTCCATGCCCTGCCCTGGCGCAGGCCACGGATGCAGGCACGGCTCCGCTCTGACACGGCCGCCCTGTGCCGCAGCAGAGCCTGCCAAGGCGCTGCAGCCCGTGCCCGCGGCCCCCAACCCCGGTGGCGCAGCGGGAGCGCAGGACTCACGTAGTCGTGAAAGGCCTTGGCTTCGCTGGAGTGCTCACACGTCTCCCGGCGGTCAGGGGCTGCGCAGTACAGGTCCCAGAACACGCTGCGGGGAAGAGACAACCGGTCAGAGAAGGAAGCCACCCCATGCCCAGCCCCGAGCAGAGCCTCCCCGCAGGGTGCACACAGGCACCAAGGAGGCCGTGCCCTGGTGCCCATCATGGATCACCTGGCACTGAGCCCCCAGCCCCGTTGCCAAGCCTCAGCTGAGACCCAGCATGCTCACTCCCACGTGGGAGACCCAGCGCGAGGGCCCAGAGAACGCCGGGGGGGGATGAGGTGCTGGGGCTGGGCGCACTGCTAGATCAGGACGGACCAGTGGAACCAGGGGCTCTTGCGGGGGGGACACGCAGGGCCAGGCAGCATCTGCCCAGGCCCTGGCATGGTTCTGCATCGGCCCTGGCAGGGCAGTGGTCCCGGGAGCAGCAGCCGCCCCCGGGCCGCGCTCCCCCAGCCCCGGCGCGCACCCCGCTCGGCCGCGGCTGTACTGCACAGTGTTTTCCCTGGCAACGGTTGCCAGGAACATCAGCTGGAGCGGAGCTGACATTCCAGAAACTTGACATCAGGCTGCACTGTCCTGGGGCTGGGGGGAGGGGGGACCTCAGCCAGCCCCACCCGGCCACGGGCACCCCCGCCCCACACCCACCCGGCGCCTTCCCGCTGGCCTGAGCCCGGGGGCTGTGGCTGCTTCTGGGCTGGAAGGAGCTGATGGACGGATCCCCACGGAGCCGGAGCCAGCAGCCCTTTCTGCCCGTACCTGGCAGGCGGCCGGCCACGGCATCGTGGGACAGAGCAGCAGCACAGCCACGCCAGGAGCCACTGGATTGCATCTGCCCCAGCAGCCGAAGGGTTAATCTCGGCCCTGCTGCCCTCCCTGAGCAGCCCCTACTTCTCTGGGCCCGGGCCCGTGGGCACAGAGCCAGTCTGGAGGCCCAGCGGAGCTAAGTGACTGGGCCAAGGTCACACCAGGAACCAGTGGCAGAGCACAGGCTCAAACCCAGGCATCCGACATCCCTGCTAGAGCCCCTGGGTGCTCCTGCCTCCCTGCACCGGGGTCTGAGCACTGATGAGGCACCTCGGCCCACAGGGACCTGGAGACGCAGCTGCACTGCAGCCCCAATGGGGGACACTGGCTTTGGGGCCTCATCTCCCCGGAGGCCCCTCTGCGTGCCCCGTCCCGCTGCCCTGCAGCCCCAGGGCAGCTGTGGACACACTCAGCGCTTGTGGGGGCAGGCAGGAGGGGCCGAGCGGGCTCCGGGGTCCCCGTCCCCCCATCCGTGGGGTGCTCCGGGCTCTCCCAGGAGGGAGGATCATGCCGGGGAGCCTGGGAAGGGCAGGGCTACGCCGGTTCTTGGGGCCCCGCGCTGGGCCCAGGGAGGCTGATGCTCTGCAACCCCCGCTGCCTGCAGCTGCAGCCACGGCGGGGCAGGGCCTGGCGATGGGCCCGGGGCAGGGCGGGAGGATTTGCACCCCAGGGGGGATCAGAACCAGAGCTGGGGCCAAGCCAGACCCGGGGGGAGAGGGTGGGAATCCCCCCTTCCCCTCTCCCTCCCTGCCCGGGGCTGCTCTGGATTATGCTTTCTGCCTTTTTGGGGCCGGACAAATTGTCTCCACATGTGCGAGCCGGCTCGCGGGGCCCGG